ACGAGCGCTCCCTGCCGTACCCATTGGCCGCAGTGCCATTCAAGCACGCGAAGTCGTAGGCCCTGCAGGCCTGCGCGATGGACGCGGGCCTCTCGCCGCTCGACGCGTGCAGGGGGTTGTACTGGAGCGCGCGCAACCGTTGCCCAGCCATAAGGTCGAGCAGGAGCCAGCAGCCCACGCTGAGACATCTAAAGGCCATCGCGAGAAAGTATAGATGTAAAGGGGATGTCTCCTGGCGGCGGCATGCAGAAAGTGTGGGGGCGGGCGCCTGTCGCCCTCTGCACCTGCGCACTCCTGACCCAGATGCTTTGGAGCAGAGGAGGGGGAGGGGGAGGAGGAGGAGGAGATCCTGCGCGGAGGGTGTGCAGAGAAAATTACTCCGACGGTAGGACCCCACACGATAATCTGTTTAGCTTACCCTTTGCCCTTTCCTCCTCCCCCTGGCGGACACCCTCTCCTCTCGCTCCCTGCGCTGCCCTCTCTTCTATTTCTCTTCCTCCTCCTCTTTCTCCTCCTCCTCCTCCTCCTCCTCCTCCTCCTCCTCCTCCTCTCTCGCCACCTCCTCCTCGTCGTCGGCCTCCCCCATGCCCCTTCCCTCCTCATCCCCCCTGCCTTTTCTCCATGTGCACCTCCCCTTCTCCCTCGTCGGGGCAAGCAAATCCATTTTCCTCAGCGCCGTCGCCGCCTCGGCCAGCGCGCGCGCGTCTGCCGACGGCTAGATCGCGAAGCCGTCGGGGCAAACCTTCGGGCTGGGCCGTTGAGACAACCTCGCAGGCCGCTGGGGCGTGGGAGCTAGCCGTTGGGACAACCCCGCGGGCCTCCAGGCGCGCGCCGCGGCGCTCAGGCGGGGGGCAGCATGAAACCCAGCTCTGCCGCGAGCTGCTCCGCCGCTCGAGACGTCCTCCATTTTCAGGTCTCAAGAGCCCAAAAGTGAACGAGGCTCCCGCCTAATACTTCCTCCATATTCAGGCCTCAAGAGGCCAAAAGTGACGACACTTACACGTTTCGGATGACCCGCTCGGATTACCAACATGATTTGCGGGCCCCCTAGGGAGGGGGCTCCCGCCTGAGACTTCTTCGCAATTCACTCTTACTTGAAGTGCGGGCCCCATAGGGAGCAGGCTCCCGCCTGAGACTTCCTCGCAATTCACTCACAGACGAGGCTCCCGCTCGAGACGTCCTCCATATTCAGGTCTCAAGAGCCCAAAAGTGAACGAGGCTCCCCCCTGATACTTCCTCCATATTCAGGCCTCAAGAGCCCAAAAGTGACGACACTTACACGTTTCGGATGACCCGGTCGGATTACCAACATGATCTGCGGGCCCCATAGGGAGGGGGTTCCCGCCTGAGACTTCGTCGCAACTCACTCATATTCAGGCCTCAAGAGCCCACAAGTGACGACACTTACACGTTTCGGATGACCCGCTCGGATTACCAACATGATCTGCGGGCCCCATAGGGAGGGGGCTCCCGCCTGAGACTTCCTCGCAATTCACTCACAGACGAAGCTCCCGCTCGAGACTTCCTCCATATTCAGGTCTCAAGAGCCCAAAAGTGACGACAGTTGCACGTTGCGGATGACCCGCTCGGATTCGAACATGAAGTGCGGGCCCCATAGGGAGGGGGCTCCCGCCTGAGACTTCCCCACAATTCACTTACAGACGAGGCTCCCGCCTGATACTTCCTCCATATTCAGGCCTCAAGTCAGCGAGTAGTGATGATGATGATGATGATGATGATGATGATGATGATGATGCTGATGATGATGATGATGATGATGATGATGATGATGATCGTTCGATGCCGATGATGGTGAGTGATCGTTGGATGGTGATGGTGATGCTAATGGTGATGATGATGATGATGATGATGATGATGATGATGATGATGATGATGATGATGATGATGATGATGATGATGATGATGATGATGATGATGATGATGATGAGTGGGGAGTGATGGTGATGGTGATGATGATGCGGAGGAGGAAGCAAAGAGGAGCAGAGGAGAGGGAGGAGGAGGAGGAGGAGGAGGAGGAGGAGGAGGAGGAGATCCTGCGCGGAGGGTGTGCAGAGAAAACAAGAACCCCACTAAGGATGTGGGGAACAAAAACCCCACTAAGGATGTGGGGAAAAACTGTCCGGTGGGGGGGGACCAAAACAGAGGTGCAAAAATCGTCGGGCGGGGGGGTCCTCAGAACAGAGCTCCGAGGATGGTGTGGGGGTCGGACCAGGTGGGGGGTCAGGGTCTGTTCCGTGACAAAACTCGTCGGGTGGGGTGGTACCAAAAACAGAGGTCCCAGGATGGTGCGGGGGTCGGACCAGGTGGGGGGTCAGGGTCGGTTCCGGGGCAAAACTCGTCAGGTGGGGGGGTGCCATAACAGAGGTCCCAGGATGGTACGGGGGTCGGACCAGGTGGGGGGTCGGTTCTGAGGCAAAAAATCGTCCGGTGGGGGGGGTCCTAAGAACAGAGCTCCGAGGATGGTGCGGGGGTCGGACCAGGTGGGGGGTCGGTTCTGGGCAAAAAATCGTCGGGTGGGGGGGTCCTAAGAACAGAGCTCCGAGGATGGTGCGGGGGTCGGACCAGGTGGGGGGTCAGGGTCGGTTCTGGCGCAAAGCTCGTCGTGTGGGGGTGTAGCAAAAACAGAGGTCCGAGGATGGTACGGGGGTCGGACCAGGTGGGGGGTCAGGGTCGGCTCCAGGGCAAAAATCGTCGGGTGGGTGGGGGGGTCTTAAGAACAGAGCTCCGAAGATGGTGCGGGGGTCGGACCAGGTGGGGGGCAGGGTCGGCTCCGGCACAAAAATCGTGGGGTGGGGGGGTCCTAAGAACAGAGCTCCGAGGATGCATGGGTGCGGGGGTCGGACCAGGTGGGGGGTCAGGGTCGGTTCTGGGGGCAAATATCGTCGGGCAGGGGGGTACCAAAAACAGAGGTCCCAGGATGGTACGGGGGTCGGACCAGGTGGGGGGTTAGAGTCGTTTCCGTGGCAAAACTCGTCAGGTGGGCGCTTGGGGCCCTGGGTAAAGGTCGCTTACGCGGGGTGGGGCGCGTCGAGGCGGGCTGCGCTGTGGGATCACCATCGTGCGAGCGCGAGCGCCAGGCGTGCTTGCGAATGCAACAGTCGTACACGATTCGATCACGTGTGCAAGCCTGGGAGCACCGGCGTGGCGCTTGAGAGCACCGCAACGGCCTGCGACCGACTACAATGCGCTTCGCCACTACGAAGACCACGACAACGACCGACAGCGGCAGCACGACAACGACGACGGGGAGGAAGAGGAGGAGGAGGGGGACGAGGAGGAGAAGGAGGAGGAAGTGGAGGAGGAGGAGGAAGACGACGACGACGACGGCGACGACGAGGGTGACGATGACGACGACGACAGCGTGCACCACAACGCCTGCGTGCACCACTCCGCCTGCGTGCACCACAATGCCTCGCGTCCGTTGCCGCCGCCGTCGTCGTCGTCGTCGCGTTGGGCCCAGCGGGCTCGTCGGAGCTAAAGATCGAATCTCAGAAGGGCGTTCGAAGTCGATCGGGTTTTAATTGACCTCCCTCTCGATCCGTGGCGGCGACAACAAACTCGACGACAACGACGACGACGACGACGAAGAGGACGCACGACGGCGAACGACGAGGACGACTGCGCCGGCGGCCGCGGCGGAGACCAGCGAAGGGCGGCGGCGGCGGCGGCGACGATCCCCCAGAGACAACGGCGGCCCCCCAGCCTGGCCGAAATTCACTCGACATCGGTCCCTGGACTCCTGGACCCTTGCGGAGGTCCAGACCGACCAGTTTTTCGACCCGCGCTCAGCCGTGGCGACTGGGAAGGCCCACGAAGGCCAGAAAACCGCCGATGCTTCAGACGGCCTTCACCGACCAGCGCACGCGGGCGGGAGTGCAATCCCCGCCGCCTTGTGAGTAGTTCGTAGGGCACCATGGCAGTGAGTAGTCCTCTTCCCACTCCTCGTCATCAGCATCATCACTATCGACATCATGTCATCCCCACGCCCTCCTGACCTACGCGCACAGCAACAGGTCGCAAACGCCACAGCGCGCATGTGAGCACCGAGATTTGCATTTTCAGCACCGCGCCCTACCTGTAAGATCAGCGCCACAACAGCGGGGAGCTTGCGAACGCCACAGCACGTTTGTGAGCACCAACGCATGCTTTTTAGCACGTCGCCGTGCCTGTGAGCACGGCGCCATACCCGCGGGGGGCGCGCCCCTCAGCACGCCGATCGCCGAGGGTGCAGGGCCCCCCCCCCTCCCCCAGGTATGTTCGTTACCGTTGCCAGGGGGGGTGGGGCCTTGGAAACAAGCGTAAATTGCCAACTGGAAAGAAAACCTATTCCTGGCGAAGGTCCAATCATATGCAGTTGTGAGTACCGCCGTTGTGGGCATCGCCTCCGGTGGCTCTATTTATGGGGCCACGAGGAGTGCAAAGGGCGTGCCGAATGGGGCACGTATGATGGCGCAGCCATTGTGGCCTTCGGTGGTGGTCCATAGGAGCCCACGAACATTTTGAGGGGCGTGCTAAAATGGAGCCATGCGAACGTCGCCGTTGGAGCCTTCGGTGGAGCTCCCAATGGGGCCAATAAGCGCGCGAGAGGCATGCCGAAATGAGCGGGGGGAGCTCATGCGGACGTCGCCGCTGGGGCCTTCGGTGAGGCTCCCTATGGGGCCACGAAACACGCGAAGGGTGTTCCGAAATGGACGGGGGTAGACGCATGTGATCACAGCCAGTGCGGCCTTCGGTGGAGCTGCTTATGGGGCCATGAAGCGCCGCGATGGGTGGCGCGGGACGCGTGTGGTCACAGCCACTGGGGCCTTCCGTGGAGCACCCAATGGGGCAATTCAGCGCCGTGCTGGGTGGCGCGGGACGCGTGTGGTCACCGAATCATTTGTGACGATACGGCGTGTTTATTGCAGCATCGTTGATGGATTTTCCTGGTCCTCCTCCTATTCCTCCTGCCCGGGCCTGAGGTACCAGGGGACGTGGTATGAGTTCCGTAGCAGTTTTGGATGAAGCCACGGCCACAATTTGTCTCAAGGAAGGGGCGGCCCAGACGGCGTTGCAAAGAACGTCTCTGCGCGTGGGGCAGCCATCGGGTTCGCCATGGCTGCGAGCTCTGACCAGCAAGCAGTTTGGGCGCGCGTGGGTCGCTTGTGCGAGAACCACGGGTGCGTGCTGTCGACTCTTGGTGTATTCGTGGCTGTAGCCTTTCGATGTGCGGTCGCAGTGTCCCCCCATTCGGGCGAGGCCACCCCGCCGATGTTCGGCGATTACGAGGCGCAGCGGCACTGGATGGAGATCACGACCGCGTTGCCCGCCCTGGAGTGGTACGAGAACACCACGGACAACGACCTCCTGTACTGGGGGTTGGACTACCCCCCGCTGACCGCGTATCATTCCCTGACTCTTGGCCAGGTGGGGCACGCACTCGTGCCCGAGTGCTTCGCGCTGTCGGCGAGCCGCGGGCACGAGAGCGTGGCCTGCAAGCTCTTCATGCGTGCCTCGGTGGTGCTGTCCGACCTGCTGGTGTACCTGCCCGGCTGCGCCTGCGCCGTGGGCGGCTTCGCCCACGAGAAGGAGACGTCGGCGGCGCGCACGGCTGCTTTGCTGAGCCTGTGGCTGCTGCCGCCGCTCGTCCTCATCGACCACGGCCACTTCCAGTACAACGGCGTGTGCTTCGGGCTGTGCTTGGCGGCCGCGGGCTGCGTTGCCAGGGGCCGCGTGCTGCTGGGCAGCGTGCTCTTCACCTCGGGGTTGTTGTTCAAGCAGATCGCGCTGTACTACGCGCCCGCGTTCTTCTTCGGCATCCTGGCCCACTGCCTTCAGCGGGGTCCCCGCGGCCTGCTGCCAGCAGTCTGGCGCGTGGGCGTCACCGGCGCCGTGGTGCTCGCCACGGCCTCGGCCATTTTCTCGCCCTGGCTGCTGGGACCTTGGCTGCTGACAGAGGGCGCCCGTCCGCAGGCGGGCGCGCTTGGGGCGGCTGGCCAGGTGCTGCGCCGGATGTTTCCGTTCGGTCGTGGCCTCTACGAGGACAAGGTGGCCAACGTGTGGTGTTCCATCTCCGTGGTGGTGAAGCTGCACAGGCTGCTGCAGCCCGAGCGCGTGCCGCTGGCATGCGCCGGGGTCACCCTCGCGGCGCTGCTGCCAACCTGCGCCTGCTGCCTCCGGACAGGCGCCTCCACGGCCGACGGCGGCTCCAGACCTTCCCCCGCAGCGTTCGCGGCGGCGCTCGCTGCCTCGGCCTTCGCATTCTTCCTCTTCGCGTTCCAGGTGCACGAGAAGGCGATCCTCTTCCCATGCGTGGCCGCCTGCCTGCTGCCCCTGGCGCTCGGGCCACAGCGGCGGCCAGCGTGGGCCCCGGCGCTGCTCTGCCACCTGGTGCTGGCCTGCAACTTCTCCATGTTCCCGCTCGTCGTGAAGGATAAGCTCATCAAGGTGTACGCGGCGCAGTGCCTTGCCCTCGTAGCACTCTGCGAGGCCCTGCCAGCCCCTGGCGCGCTGCGGGCGGCCTTCCGCGGCTGCTACGTGCTGGCGGTGCTGCTGCATTGCGTGCACGCGCTGGTGGCGCCACCTGCGAGGTACCCAGACGCCTGGACCCTGCTCATCACGGGGTCCAGCTGCGGCTACTTCGTCCTGTGCCTGGGGGCCCTGACGGTGGCCCAGCTGCGCGGCGTATTTGACCACGGCTGGCAGGGGCGAGGCCAGAAGGAGGAGTGACGCTCGCCCGACCGGGAGTGCGCGTGCGAGTGCCTGGCGCCCACGCCGCCTGGGCGCCATCCCAGCGCGCCTCTAGTGGCGGGACGAGTCCTTGGAGAAGCGGTCCGCTCGTCCTGTATGAATGAGCCTGGCGCGACGACAATGAGGGGCACGCCTTGTGGAAAGGGCATACGCGTGCAATGGAGGGCAATGGCGTAGCAACACTGCAAACAACACGACCTGGGGGCTGCTGGGGCCAGCCTCCGGGCGTTGCCTTTGAGCAGCCCTCAGCCCTGGACATCCGCTGGTTCGTTCTTCTTAGAGACGTGCTCCCCATGGACATCTCGGGTTTTGTTATTCATCTTCTGTGGTTCGC